TCTCCCTCTCCCTCTCCCTCTCCTCCCTCTCCTCCCTCTCCTCCCTCTCTCCATCTATCTTCTTATCTTACTTAGCTCTACATACACCTTATCGATAGTAAATCATCGATAGTATCACTACAGATGAAAGAAAGTATACTAATGCTAACGACACTACTTTCCCCTCTCCCCCTCCCCCTCACCCCCCCCCCAGGGACCCTTCGTGCACATCGCCAGCATCGTGGCCACCTTGCTCTCCAAAGCCGTGACGTCATTCAAAGGCATCTACGAGAACGAATCTCGGAACTCGGAGATGCTTGCGGCTGCCTGTGCGGTCGGTGTGGCTTGCTCGTTCGCGGCGCCGATAGGAGGTGAGTGAATTGATGGATTGTATAGGTAAGTAGGAACAAGTAGTAAGTAAGTAAGATTCAGTAGGAAGAAACGGAATAAGCTACTGTAGAAGTTGGGCGAGTGTTGAGATAAATGGTTGTACAAGTCAGCTTTTTTTTTTCTTTCTTTCTTTCTTTTTTTGTCATTTATTTTTTACGTGTTTTGATGTGTCAGACGTTCGCAGGAGGTGTGTGAGGTTATGTTGATATGATAAGGGAATGAGTTGATGCTGCATTTAGTTACGTTAAAATGGAATCTATCTATGTACATGTTGGAGTCTCGTAAAAATGACCTAAAATCTAAAGTCATTAGATAATCAGAAATTTCTAAATAATTAATCAATAACTAATGTTTGAAGGTGCTTATGTAACGTTTTTTCCTTGCGAGTGGTCGGATTCAGACAAAACTCTAAGGACATCATACGCCAGTTTTCACTACTGCTCGCGCTTCATTTTTTAGCTTAGTGTTCCGTAAATAATTCTGCCATGAGAAAAAAGAAGTGCGCTTTCTTAATGAGATATTCTAGTGCCACGTCGTTTAATGTCAGCAAATTTGATAGAGAATTCTAGGATATATGTGCCTCCGTTGTGGTAGGTGCCTTGTTCGATGATATACTTTATTAAAAGTAGGGTTTATCTTGAGCCCTAATTACGAAATATTTCCTTACATAGTTGAATGGTGTATTAGTTGTAATAACTGTGGTAAATATTCACTAAACCTGGGGATATTTTTGTGGTCGTTTTTTTCCCTAGAGGTGTTTTTTTTATATTGTACTTAACCTTGATTTGTTCTTTGTTACTTCTCATTTCTTTGTTTCTTTCCTGCTTTCTATCTTCTTCCTCTCTCTGTCTTCTCCTTCTCTCTGTCTTCTCTGTCTCTCTGTCTTCTCTGTCTCTCTGTCTTCTCTCTCTCTCTCTCTCTCTCTCTCTCTCTCTCTCTCTCTCTCTCTCTCTCTCTCTCTCTCTCTCTCTCTCTCTCTCTCTCTCTCTCTCTCTCTCTCTCTATGTGTGTGCTTATGTTTGTTTGTTTTTTTTTGTTTGATTGCTTACCTATCAGTCTGTCTGTCTGTCTACCCGTGTCTTTGTGTCTATCTATTTCTCTTTATCCGTGTCTATCTATCTATCCATCTATCCACTCACCTTTCTATCCTTATGCACGTATCACAGTGTGTGTGGCTCCTTGTACAGCGCCCTTTCGACCTCAAGAGCTGATAGATTTAGCCCCGGCGTGGCACTGTGGCACTGTGCCGGCCCAGGGGATGGCAGGAACACGTTAACAAAGGGCCGGGAGCAGAGGGTTGTCAGCTTTGTCCTGTGTTTAAGAGCTGTCTCCGTCGACGTCCCTGTGCCGATGGGGCGGAGACTTCTTTATCGATAAAAGACGTGGGTGTATTGGTTTTAAGATTTGCTTCTCTTCGATTTATGTTTGTTTTTGCTTTCTGTTTTCATAATTTGTTTATTTGAAACTGGAAAAATAAATAGGCTGTATGTATTTAGAAGTTAAGCTTTGTCACAAACAGCTGAAACTACAAAAGAAATACAATTTGATAAATAAATAATGAAAGCTCCGCATCAGGTTTTACAACAAAATGCGGGCATTAAAAAAAAAACGACAGCTACATTGCCTTGTTCCATTAATTGGTCCCACATTTGAATCTTAAAACAGCGAGTCTTCAAGATGTTGTCACTTGTTTAGTGTTTCGCGTAGGCCAGGCTGTGAACGTAGATGTTTTCGGACGTTGGGTGTACTTGTGTTAGAAGTATTTTCAAAGGAGAGAGGTTGTCTGTATTGCTGCTCACTGGCTTCGTTTTGGATTTTCAACCTGTTGTGTTCTTTTTTATATATCGTTAGGTTATTTTTAGTTTAGCTTGTCCTATTTCATTTTGTCTCATACCGACGGTTGACTTCAGGCCAAGAAGAGGACGAAGCGGAATAGCAGTTAATGTTGCCTTGCTGTAAACATGTCCTGAACAAGTCTTACTGCCCAGAACTCACAAGAGGATATTGCAAGTCATCTTTTTCTTTCTTTCTTTTGTGAACTTTAATATGATTCTCTCTTGGGACGAGGTCATTTCTGTTCGACATAATCTCCTTATAAGGCGAAGGTTAAACATCCAGTATTGGAGGTCCA